ACCCTAAAATACAGGGATTTTTTTTTTTTTTTTTTTTTCCTTGGTGACAATTCCCCCAGGCTTGTTAAGTGGCTTATCTCAGGTTGACGAAGGCTTTGAGCAGATGTCAGGAGAGTGTGCTTCCCAGGAGCCGGGGTGCGATCCTGGCAGCATCCCTGCGAGGCGAACCCAGCAGGTGAATAAGGCAGGGGAATACGACCCCTTCGAGAGCACAAAGACAAATAGAAAACCAACAAATTATTATTTCTAAACCTTGCAGTGTGCCACCTCCTGCCCGCCGACCTTTGGGAAGGGCAGCAGTGGGCTCAGGTCTTCTCTCGTGGTCTCCAAGGTCCACGGGGATATAAGGAGGAGCTTGACGGCCAAAGGGTGCACATGAGCTACCAAGAAGCCAGAGTCCAACCCAAGGTCAGATTTTTACTCAACTGCAGTTAATTTTCCAACAGTCCTAATGTAAGCCCTGGCTCAGGCTTTTAGGACTGGTTTTAGTGAACTTCCAGGAGGGGGTGGCAGGTTTACTGGTTTTGGGTTCCTCACCAGGAGCAGGACCTTCAAACACACAGGTCCCATCAGCAATCCCAGCCTTTTGTCCGTCCTCCTGATGTGAGAAGTGGGAAATACTCCCACAGGACTGGGAGAGGGGAGTTATCGGAGCTCTGCTCCAGAGACAGCATCGTACCAGCACCCAACAGCACCCACAGGATCATCAAAAAAGCATGGTCCCATCACCACGCACGTGCTTGGTGCCATTTAACCACCTGCTTGGTCTGCTCCCACAGCGTACTTTGGTGCCTTTCAGGATCCCAAATGCTGCTGGTCAATCCATAAAGGACATTTCTACCCCCTTAGAACTGCCAGGACCCTGAATTTTCCCCTCAAGGAGCCCAAATGCAAAGCATGCTCCCCACACAAAGGCAAAATGCTTGCCAGGAGCTCTGCAGAGCCCACACTCAGGTGGTGCAAGGGGTTTCTCCTTCGTCATCAGTGCTGCTAAGAAGTGGGAGCACGGCTGGAGACAGGCACTGTGGCACAGAAAACTCAGCAAATTCCCAAAACACAGGGGTCTGCTCGGTGCAGCTTTGATGGCATGAACACATCGTGACCGTTCTGGGGTTTGCACAAGAAAAGGAAACAAAAAAAGCCATGGAGATGGGTCTAACGCCCACCCTGAGCAGGTTTGCTTCCATGCCTCTCGTGTCCTGCTGTCCTCCATCCTCTGCCCTGCCCCAAACTACGAGCACTGGGTAGGTGCAACACGCTTCTCCTGGGGGGGTTAGAAGTATTCGAGACCCCAACTTCCTCCACCACCCCGGCCAGCGGCGGATAGAAAGGTCAACACCACCAAAACCTGCGGCAGTTTTACATTATCGTTGTTTTCCTACATTTCTGGCAAAATGACATGATTTCCCAATTCCGGTCTTTAGCTAAAATTAGTATTTATTTTTCCATGATGAGAAAATGTCATTTTGCCATAAAACCATGTGCGCTTTCTGTTTGTTTATTCAATAGCAGAGGAATGTCTTGCCAGAAATGCTCCGGTTTGCGAAGAGCCCTCCCTCCGATGGAGCACTTCAGTTCCTCATGGGAACAGACCATCTCCTGGTGGGAACAAAACCACATTCAGGGTCAACCATGAAACTCAAAGGAATCCACCGGCGATGCTGCTCGATGTGAAAGCAAGGCATGAGCGCACAGACTCCAGTGGTTTCCCAGTTGTCAAAACCCTGGCACGGGAAGGCATCACCATCCCCACCTTGGGCAGGCCGAATGTGTTTTTTCATGGTGAAAACCTACACAAGTTCCCAGGTTTAAAGCAAATGAACAGACAAGTTTCTCCATAGCTTGAATCCCAGCTTTGCCATTTTCATATATCTGGAATTACAGGTGGAGAAGAAACACCGTGGTGGCCACCCCAAGGAGCATCACAGCCAAGCCTGGTGCTACACGTGCTGCCACCTGCACCAAAAGAGGTCCAAGTCAGACCTCTTCCCATCACCCCCCCCAAAACCAGCCCACTTTGACACCTGCCTTTGACCTTCTCCTTCTTCCCAACCCTTCCTTGACCTGCTGGTGCCCACCTTCTAGAAGCTATTTGGAAAGCACCGATGAAACGGGGTTAGCTTCTCATGCAAAAAGCCCTCTTCTCTTCCCTCCTTCCAAGCAGTGTACAAAAACAATACCTTAATTTGGGAGAGGAGAAGGAAAGGGCAGCGAGTAAATCTAACAGAAAAAAAAATAATCCTCCAATGGTATTTGGGAAATATTCATCAGAACGGTGAAAGGAGATGAAAAGCAGCGAGTGCTATTTCCATATTTATAACCCCACGCTGCGGAGGACTCCAGCAGGCAGCAGCATGCTGGCGGTGTGGCTGGGGGAACCCAAAAAAACAGCAAAAAAATTCCAATTAATGCTGAGAATCAGAGCGGCTTCGCTGCAGTCGGGCCTGACGGCGGCTGCCTGGCTCCCACAGCTTTGCTGGGGAAATAACGAGGCAGATGAAAGCGGCTCAGCCGGCGAGCGCCGGCCTGTGAGGCACTTTGAAGGCAGCAGATCACAGAGGTGGCTTCCAGCAGGCTCGCGGCGGCAGCTGCACCAGCACCCGCATCCTTGCCACGCTGCTTGCCGAGTTTGGCCATTGACCGGAGCACACTGAGAAGCCACAGGTTGACCACTGCTCCCAAATCCCTGCTTGGTCCCCAGAGCAACACTGCTTCAGGGCAGGTAAATGGTGCAGAGCTTATTTCACAGCTGGCATTGCCTAAAACAGCTTGTTTGGCGATGAACATTTTGTTAAGCAAAGGTTAAAAACAATAAAAGTGCCTTGTTACCCAAAGCCAACTTTACCTTTACAAGCCACGTTGTTCTCCGGCTCATAACCAGCCTTGCACGTACAGCGGCCGATGGGGACCATCCACTCCCCATCCCCGTTGCAGTACAGTTTGATGGGCACGTCCACCTCCTCGGCGTTGGGGATGCAGGTGCCGCGGGCAGTCACTAGAGAGGTGCTCTCCGCTCCTGTCATTGTCTCTGGGAAGATGGCGAAGTTCTGCACCACACTGGGGCACTTCTTGAAGAAGACCCTGACGGACAGCAGAGACATACAAGCTCCGTAGTCCTGGAAAGCCAGGTAAAAGCCATTGCGGGTCAGGGGCCCGAAACTTCTCACTTCTGTGTTCACCTTCATCAACCTGCCACCGAAGTCCACCTGGGAGAAGCTCTCGTCAGCAGCAATGGTGTCCACTTTGAGGTAGGGTGCCTCCGTCCAGAAGGCAGACTTCTTGGTGGCAATGACAGAGTCTGTCTCGTAGTAGTAAAGGTTGAAGGTCTCCTTGCAAGAGCCAGGGACATTGGGGAGGCTGCTGCAGTCCCGCACAGTGAAGCGCATCTCGGTGTAGATGCGGTGAGCTCCACGCCGGTTGATGAACGTGGTGAGGAGCCAGTTGTTCTGGTTGGGCTCGAAGACATTGCACACCTGGTACGTACGGATGGTGTTGAGATTTTCGTCGTAGCCACTGACTTCTTCCCACTGTAGAAAGGCGAAGGGAGAAAGGGCATGAGAGGATGGCAGAGGGACAGGCAGTGGCTCGTGAGCCGAGGAGGTGCCGCTCACCCTGCGCAGGGCAGGGCTGGGCTGGAACAAGGATCCCAAAGCCCCAAAGGGGGGCAGGAACATGGTCGTGGACACATGATGTGATGCATGTGCAGAAACACCACCTGAGTCAGCACCAGAAGAAATCCTCACCCTCTTGCCCCTGCCCACGCATGCCTGTTCCCTTTCCCCATCGCTCCCAGCTGACGCTAAAACATCTTTTCCATGCAGGCAATCACCTTAGCTGCCCTGGAGAGGACACAAAAACGGGAAGAAAGATGGTCCAGGCACCTGGAGACAGGAGGGAAAGCAGCACACAAGGCTGTGCCTTCATTAAAGCCCAAGCCAGCACGTGGGCTGGAGAGCAAGCCTGACCCCAGACTCTCGGCATGACAGGATCACTTCCCCCAGCAAAAAAACTAACTAAATAAAACATTACCGCTGTGGAGAGGGAGAATATAGATTTGCAATTCGATTTATAGAAGGGCATTAATATAATCCAGGCTGCAATTTCAATTAAGGGACAGCGGCAAACTGTGAATAGTCTATGATGGCATTAGAGTCCTACAGACAGATTTACAACCTCATAATCCATTCATTTTAACTAATCCATGTTTACAGTCTCCTCATAACAGCATTATTCATATGGCAATCTTTAAGCAGCACTCTGAATACCATGCATAATTTCCAGTAGCGATGCTATAGCAGCGCTCACCCGTGATTGTGCTTACGTGGGGGCACAACAGCAGATGGGTGATGCCAACCTGCCCCATCATGTTGAGTCTTCCCAAAGAGCTGATGCACCACAACCAACCCTGCAATCTTACAGATTTTGCCCTCTTCCGTTTTCCATTAAACAACTACGTTCCTCACCTGGTCCCCAAGCTTCCCTGTTGTACGCCACAGCCCTGATGTAAAAAACCGCAGGTTTTTATTCTGTTTTCAAAGCAGGGTCCTCCACACGCTGCCAACAAGCACAGCAGAACGTTTGTTCCTGGGTCCACCTACTCAGCTCCACTAAGTTTAAGCAACGATCGCAGCTCAAGGTTGCACATTGTTGTTAAGCAATGTTTACCAAACCAGCAACAAAACCTCACGCATCCAGCCAAGCGCTCTCCCTTCTCATCCCACGCCGTGGAAGCACTGCAGAAACTCCACCCTGGACAAGACGTGCAGATTCAATGCCCTTTCATTACCAGATACCTTTTCACACGAGAAAGCTGCAAGGTCCTACCCAACCTCAGCTTTGCATTACAGCCCTCTCATCCAATTAACGCCAGACAACGAGCTCTCTTTCAGCGCTCGTCTGCCAGCGTAACACCGGCCCCATTGCTCCACTGTCTTTGCTGCGGGAATCCTCCTCTTCATCCCGCCCACCAGCTCCTGCACTCCAGCTGGGTGCACAGGAGGCGACCCGGCCCACTATCCTTTTATTCACAGTGCCCATCAGGGAGCCGGCTCTCTCAACAGCTCCTTCCACCAAGCATCCCCTGCGTTTTGCTGCATTTTTGTCGAGGGGTTGCAAACAGAGCCTCAAAACTCAGAGCCAAAACCTGCCAGCGGACCCTGCCACACTTCAGGTGCCCAGGACACAGGGCTGCCCATGGCTGGGAACGACATAAAATGCCACTTGGAAAACCCTCATGAGGGTTTGGGGCTAGATCCTGATGCTCCCTTGGGTTGAGCGCTCCTGCAACTAGGTACTGAAAGCAGCAGGTCCCCATGGCTGGAAAGACCCACAATGCCAGCGACTGCTGCCATCGATGCTCTAGCAGTGACAAATGCATCATTTTGATGAGATCCCACTAAATAATTCACAGGGAGCTGGGGATTAAGACAATGTTCTTCTCCGTCTCCGCTGGGATTTAAAGCATGTCCATCGGGGAGAGCAGAAGGAGAGCCCTTGTCCCTCCGCAGCCAGTCTCTGGGGACCACAGCCCCTGCTGCCCACTGGCATCCGTGCCCCGGCATTAGTGTCAACAGTCCCCCCCAAGCCCCGGGGCACATCTGTGAGCCAGGGTGAACAGCCACTCTCAGAGCTCAGCACACCACGGGGGGGATGCAACCACCCAAAGACTGCACAGACCCCATGCCAATGGCAACCCCTGGGTCAGGAGAGGTGGCTCATCAAATCCCTGTACCTCCAGCTCCAAGAGAGATGAGAGAAGCCTGGGAGAAGGAGCTGACGCCCCAGCAGCAGCCAGGAGCCCCTCACCCATCCTCCCGTCTCCTCCCTCCTGCCCCAAAGAGCAGGAAGGTCCCATTTATAGATGGCTGCTGCTATTCTCCCTCTTGTTTCTTTGCTTGCCTCTCTGGTTCCTCTCTTCTTTGCTTGTTCCTGCGATGCTATGGCTTGTTGCTAAGCCCCAAAGCAAGGCTGTCAGTGCACTCATTTTTTGGATGGAGGAACGCAGGGCAGAGGGGAAGCTTTTGGTTTCTTACCCCAGCTTTCAGCAGTCTAGGCTGAAAAAGAAATAGCACAGCCCTAGGGTGGCTGCTTTTGGGAATTGAAGACTAAAAACAAGAAAAGACCAACTAAATTTGGGGTCTTCGTTGACTCCAACACAAGCAGAAATCCCCACGTGTATCTTAGCACCTCTACGCCAGGCTGCTTGGATGGGTCACGGTCTGCAAACCCTCCCTGGCACCCACACTCTGGACAAGTCTCACCCAAATATTGGCCATTACCACCGGACAAGCCAAGAAGCAGCAAAAATCTGCCCTCAAACATATGTTGTGAACTATTAAACAGGACAAACCCTAAAAGTCAGTGCTGTAACCAAGCAGCTCGTAAAGACTACTGCATGACTGGAGCAAGAGGAAGACATTGCTTATTTTCAACTGGTGTCCAACCTACTCCAATACCTGTCCCAGCTGGGACATGATACCTACAGGAGGGTTCACTCCAGGAGTCCAAAATACACCTTAAGACGCTCCATATCCACCCAGTAAAGCGTCTGACAGTAGAAAGAAAAGCCCAGTCCACAAGCAAGGGGACTTCACAGGGGAAGTGAAGGCACGCTACAGACTGACCCTATGTCTTTTAAATAAAGGACTTGGTATTTTAAAATGCTTTGTGGAAGATCTAATATACACACCTGTAAAGGAGAAGACTCACCAGTAAGTCTCAGAGGACCGAGAGTTGGATGGATGCAGGGATGCACACGGAGGGATGCAGCAGGGATGTGGGCTGGGGAGAGGCTTTGCTCTGCTGCTCCGCAGAGGGCGAGACTGCCGTGCCTTACGACGCAAGCTCCCCGCCTGCCTTGCGCGGGCTTTCAGCGATAGCAGCTGCAGGCAGCTATTTATATCCCATCTCCATCACCTGCACACGGCCCCCCTGCATTTTGCCAGCAATTTATCTGGGCCCAGATTTTTTCCAAAGCAATTCAGTGGCAAAGCCCCATGTTTCAAGGGCCTCTGACGTGCCTGGAGAGGATTTTGTGCCCACTGCATGTGTGGTTCAGCTTTGGTGACGGTGTGCAACCTCATTTCTTTTGAAGACCTGGCAAAGCCAGTCACACCCTAACGAAGACGCAGGCTGGCATCCTTTCTCCTTTGGTGCCATGTCCTGAAGGCCCCGGGGATGGACCCTGCTGCTGTACCCACTCCTGCCTGACCAGCTGCCTGTCCCACCGTAATGCCCACCCACCAACTAGCATCCCCTCCCACCACCGCTCCTCTCCTCCCCAGCTCCGTCTCTCACTTTCTCTGTCAGGGGAATGTGAGTCAGGTTATTTTATGCTTCCATTCCTCAAAGGCTCGTATTATATAAAAAAGATGTTTTAAGTGCCTCAGGGTGTTTTGTTCCTCATTACTTCATAAAAGTGACATTAATAGCCAGAGAAGAGCACTGCCGAGTGCAATTACGGATGATGTTCCAGGTATGAAAGCTGTTTTGAGCCTGCTAATGTTTCCTAATTACAAGCCTTTTGGCACAGGGAGAGGGAAGACGCGAGTCAGGAGATGGAGAGTCGTGATGGGGCCAGACCCTTCACCTGGGAGTAGGACAGGCAGGGGAGGAGAGAGCATGGGGTTGGAGGAGAGAGCACGGGGATGGAGAAAAGCTCCATCTTCACCGAGACCCCGGGACCGGTTCTGGGAAGGGACGCTCAGCCCTGGAGCAGCCACGCAGCTCAGCACAGCGATGCCCTGGCCGCCCCATGCCAGCCCGATGGGGCGCCGCTGCTCCCACTGCAGCCTCCCCAGCTCCCCACCAGCGTTTTAAGATAAATAGCATGAACCCCACGAGATCGCGTAAGGATCAGCTGGACGAGTGGCACTTACCCCCGAAGGAGGGTTGGCGCTCCAGCCCAGCTCGGCCGTCGCCGTCCGCGTATCCATCAAAGTTTCTGAGGAAACACAAGAAAAGGAAAGCAAACTAGTTACTCACAAAGTTTTCAATGACGTTATGAGCACAGAGCCACAGAAAAACATTCAGTTGCTTTCACGGAATGTGCATCTGACCCTTGGAGCTGCTCAGAAATAAAGCAGCAGGTGCCCTAATACATCTAATGAACTAAGGGCAGCTTCACTTTGGAGCAAACAGTGCAGGACAAGACTCTTCGCAAAGAGTCACGGCCTGAATCCAGCCCACGCTGCCATCTCTGGCTCTCCCAAGCCTAGAAAAGGAAAATAGCGTTACCAACTGAAAAAAATTTAAAAAATTAAGAAGGATGCTGCAATTTCATGGAGTCATTACATCCATGTACAAAACCCTGTCTAAACCAGAGCAGCAAGTTTGCATTAACTCCCTGGAAACAGCAAGAGGCTGGGGGAAAGTCTCCCACCACGGGAGGAGCCCACCCTCTCCCGCAGCGCCTCCGTACGGGCTTTTCAGCAGGTCCCATCTGACTCACTTGCAACTACTCGCTTCGCTCTACAACACTAGACATCCTCTTTTATGCACTACATCTGTCTGGTGCCCTGAGTTGTCGTTGCACACAGTTATTATTTGTCAGGGTGATTTCAAATACACAAATAAAAATCACATCACTGGAGCGGTGTTCCTCTGCTGGGGGTCTTTTGATGGAGGATTTGGTGGGAAATATTTAAAAGCTGTACTACAGCTGACATTTCCCTACTTTTATTCTTTAAAAAAAACCAACAAAACACAACAAGAATAACAGTGAGAGCAACAACATATAGAAACAGATGGGAAAATTCCTCCAGGTTTTATTTATTTGTTTGCAGCAAGCAGACATGCAGATTAATTTCCTCGATTCCTGTGTCTCAACCAAATGGGAGGTTGAGATGCGCTGGCAGCGGCTGGCATAGCTGAGCATCCCCCGTCCCTCCCCTTTCCTCTATGGTCCCAGGTACTCACGGCAGCTTTGCAGCACCAGGAAAACGGGTGCAACCGGAGAAATAAAGGTCAGGAAATAAAAATCAGCTCAGGAATACAAACTGCCGCCAGAATGCTGCTTTTAATCTCTCCACGCCTGGTCCAGCAATCGCAACCGGGAAACAAGACTCCTATTAATCTTCCCACCCCTCCCTTTGCCGGCTGCTCCAGGATGGGAAGCCGGAGAAGCGTGACCGGGAACTCCCTGCCCTGCTGTATGTGATAAACGCTCCCTCTCTCGAAATCCCCGCCTGAGCTGCCAACCTGGCCTGGCTCCCAGAGAGGTGAGCAGGGTCACAGAGGCAGGGAGAGCAAGGCAACCCCCCAAAGATGGAGCAAAAAGGCACTTGGGGAGCTTGCAAAGCTTCTGCACCCCTAATGGATCCCAGGATGCTGCTGTGGCACCGCGAGGGGGGCTTCAAAGCCCACAGCCCGTTGCACCCAGGCTTTGCATGGTGCTTTGCACGGTGCCAGCCCCTTCCTGCTCACAGTGCCCTCGGAGAGGAGAAGTTTCATCCCTGGTCCGTGCAGGGAACAGAAAAGTGTGGTGGCCTTCATGCCACCGCAGCATGTCTCCATCTGCAGCTTCAGCCCCTTTCTGTTTGGCAGAAGCCAGCTAAAAACAACACATCCCACCTGCAACTCCTCCCTGGCCCCAAACAGGGCTGGGGGCTCGTGCTCCAGACCTCCAGCAAGTTTCTGCTCCCACCACCCTCCACCTTCCCACTGCCAACAAGCTTTCCGTCCCTTGCAAACAGCCCTGTGCCTCGTTAAGCAGTCATTAATTCTCGCTACAGCCCTTCAGATAAGCAGGGAGACGTGCCCATGCATAAATCGATGCAAAGGTGGAAGCGAAAGGCCATGCAAATATCTCTGAGTCCCTCCTCCTGTCGGGGCAACACAGGGAGGGATGCTCTGAGAGCCCCTAAAATGCTTGGTGTTTTTCCCCACAGCAAATGGGGTGTCCTTGTGCCATGCAGGGGAAACTGGGGCAGCGGAGCCCTGGGGACCTGGACCCAGCTCATCCACCCTCTGCGGTAAAGGAGGACACGCTCCATTACAGGAAAGGCATTTCTTGCAAGGGTTTATTCAGAAAGGATTTTCACTCCATCATCTCTTCCTGTTCCACGCACTTAAAGCTTCCTTCCCCAGGCTTTTTTTTTTTCAGTGGGGTGATGACAGAGGAATGTACTTTTGATAAAGTACAGCCACAGTGCGGGGTGGTAGCATGGGAGGACTGGCTCTGCTCCAAGGTGGCATCCACCAGGATCCCTCACAGTGGCTCCCTCTGAAAATCTCACCCCTTCCCTCCTGTTCTGTTCCTCCCCAAAGGCTCCACATTTTGGAAAGAAAGCAGGAAGGCACAGCAGCAATGCCAGCATGGCACACAGCAGCTCCCGAAGCAGGACACTTCAAAATAACTAAATAAATAGAGAAATAAATTAATAAATTTGAGAGAATCACAGAGAAGCTTTCACTTTGGAGGTTTCCAGAGTCCTAAGGGCACTGCGCGGCCTGTGGCCAGGGAGGTCACACTTGCAAAGTTTCCACCGCAGACGCATAACTTGCACTTCAACAGCTCCGCGTTTCTAAAGCAATTTGCAAACCAAAGGAAAAAGAGGGCTGAGAGCCACCACTAAAAGCCTGACCCTCTACAGACCATCTCCTGCTCAGATCCTGCTCTGACTCCCAAGGACACTGCCATATACAAGATCCATAACCTGGCAAAATAGTTTGGTTGTTTTGTTTTTTTTTTTTTAAATGAAATAAAATAAAATGGTTAAACTCCCCTTTCAGCTCAAATTCCTGCTGAGCTCATCCAAACCCTGTGACTGCAGAGGTACTGGCACCAGAAGGACTTGGCTGAGCAACTTCCCATTGACCTCTGCTATTTCCTCACGGAGGAAATCTTGGCTTTTACTTCATTTTCTGCGATGTACGAGTGATGCTGTGACCCTGGGGGAAACCCTGCAGGGTCGTTTATGGCCAGGCAGCTCAGGTCTAAGGCTCTACCGAGCACCCTCCTTCAGCAAGGGGGTGGTTTGCAGACACCGGTGCCCCTTGCTCCAAGATCCCGCAGAGAAAGGGGGGGCACCCAGCACTCACGTCTCCATCTCTCAAAACACAAACACTGCTGCTGATGGGGGGACACGGGAATCGCCCCCCCCCCCCACCCCCCCCCCCCCCCCCCCCCAGCCATCCATCACTTGGGAGCGGGCAAAGGAGGGATAGGCAGTAAAATCCCTTTGCTCTGCCTGCTAACGAGGGGATTACTGTGGACCAGCACCTGAGCATCATTAATCAGTGGAGAAGCCACATGGACACCTCACACCTCTCCTCCCATGCTCCTCTTGCCTGCCTCATCCTGCTGCAAGGACCAGTCCTTGTTACTTGGCACTGGGTATTAATTAACCAGGGCCCTGCCTAGGGCAGGGGGGTCCTGCTGGGAGAGGTGCACTCATCCCCCCAGGGGTGTCAGCACAGGGGGACATCATCTCCCCGTGCCTCCTACATCTAGCACAGCATCGTTAGCCACGCCAGGTGAACCATGTGCCACTTGTCCACCTGCAACAGCCAGTGTCTGCGCCTCCACCGTGCCAGCAGACAGGCTCAGGGCCCAGCAGGCGAGTGTGTGCAAGGTGCTGCCCTCCCCTTGTCTGCTCAAGGTACCACTCCTCCAGCAACTCCTTCCACGCCTGACTGCCTGCATGTGGGCACAGCAGATGCCCAGGGGATGCTCTGCCCAGGAAGGAGCTCAACACACTCGCTTGGAGGAGTCTTCGGGACCTGAGCCTCCACTGAAGGCAGCTGACCAGGCTGTAATGGCTGAAGCCCCCATTAGGGAGAAGACAAGCTTTGCTACGGCAAGCTGAGCTCTCTTAGAGTGAAGAATCTTCAGCTGTATACAGTAGATTTTCTTTAATGGACACATTACTTTAAACTAAGCCTTCACCATCTGTTCCAGTCCCTAATTATCAATACAAAAACAAACGTCTACTCACAATTACACTCGTAACGAGTAAAGATGCCAGCAATTAGAATGCACCAGCATCCTCACTGCCGAGCAGCGCATCCATCTGTGATGGCACTCATGCGATCCAGGCAGGGAGGACTCGCTGCCGTCCCGGGCTCCCCACACCCTCCCGAGCAAACGGGTGCGAGATGCAGGGTGGGCTGGCATCATTCAAGCAGCAGGGGGAAAATAAGTTATTTGGAGCAAGAGTAGCCAGGCATGGAGCAGGGCAGCGCAGGATCCACTGCGGGAGCCTTCATTTCACACCAGCTGATGCCATCTTGCCAAACACCCTTCCCAATAGGATTTAAGCCTCTTCCAGAAAAACCTTTCTGAATTACCCAAAACAAAGTGGAACTTATTTCCTGAAATCCCCAGCCTGAAACCTGTATTTCAGACCTCCCTAGTGTGGAGGGCTCCTGCCGATCATGCCGTGAAAAGGTGTGACTTCTCCCTGGCAGGGAGTGGGGTCTGGCTACGGACAGAGAGAGATGGAAGCAAAGAGGCCAACCCAACTTGATCATGTTTTGACACTGTCATCTGGAAAGAAAGAGATAGGACAAATTTTCTGCTCAGGGAGGCCACGAAGAAACTTCTATGAGTGCTGGACTCCTCAATAGATGCCTCGGGGATACGGTCCCTCTCCCAAGGCAAGAAGCAGCAGCTCTCGCTCCTGCAAGAAGATAACAGCAGGAACCAGCCTAAGGCACTCGAAAGCAAATGCTTGGGCATATGCAAAGAGGCGCAGGCATGTCTAAGACAACCAAGAGGAAAAAGATAGAAATTAAGCAAAATAAGGAGAGAGGAGGCTTGATAACAACAGATGGGTAGAGGGAGATTTGGAAAGGATGCCAGCTGCTGGCAATAAGCCCCCTGAGATGTGTGGGGAGCAGAGGTGTGTGTGTCGATAGCTGAACCTTCGGAGGGAGAGGGGAGACGGGAGGGCAGCCGACAAGCAAGGGGCAGGGCGCACATGGCCGTGCAGGG